GGTTTACCAACACTAAAGCATTCACAGATACTGTTTATATATATTATGAATAGGAGTGGGCCTAATACACTTCCCTGGATTACACCACTACTTACTGGTTTAGGCCTTGAGATTATCGAGCCAACTTTTGTTATCTGATTCTGTCACAGAGAAATGATTTTATCCAGCTCAGGAGAGGGTCACATATCCCTAGTGAGCATAACCTGCTGACTAGCAGATTATGGGGGACTCTATCGAAGGCTTTTGTTATATCGAAATATAGCACAATTACTAGTTCTCTGTTGTCCCTGCTTCGTGTAACTTCATTGAAAAAGTCTATGTGACAGGTCACACATGATCTCTTTTTGAGGAATCCGTGTTGTGATGGGTTGATAAGTTCATGTTCTAGTAAGTTGTCTGACACTTGGTCTTTAACCACTTTCTCCATTATTCGTGATATTACCGGTGTTATATTAATAGGTCTATAGTTGCATGCACTGGTTTTGGCCCCTGCTTTGTGCTTAGGTAATATGTATGTGGTTTTCCACACTTCAGGATAAGTTCCAGTTTCCAGTGACAGAGTAAATATTCTAAGTAACAAGACTACCATTTCCGTGCTACCATTTTTGTATATGACAGATGGTATGTCGTCTGTTCCAGTACTGCCATTTGACTTCAATGTCTTAATCGCTGAGTCTATATTTTGTATATTAAAATCTATTTCTCCTAATTTGTGGTTACTTTTGCAGGTCATTTGGAAATTTGGGGTCGGGTGCACTCTGGTGTCATTGCAAAACCACTCACTGAGGAGTTCACTTATAACCTGGGGATCGTTGTATATTACACCCCTATGTTCCAAGATGCTTACATTATTGTCTTTACTGCTTTTTAGACGTTTTTGCAATATCCTACAAAGTTCCTGAGTTTTGGTGTTACCCATTAGCGCTTTATTTTCCTCATGTTGTGACTTCATTTTGTGTTTCTCTTCAAGCAGTTTAAGAGTTTCATGTATTTGGTTTAACGCATTAAATTCCTTAAATACATGGTATTTCCTTTCAATTTCTTTAGTTTTAGTCGCGTTTTCCGGTCAATAAATGGAGTTGGTGTCTTTAGGGCAGATTTTAGGGGCGCGATTGTGTCTCTTGCTGAGCCAACTGTTTTGTAGAAAATCTCAAGTGATACTTCTAAGTTATTGTTGATGAAGTATTCTTCCCAGTCAGAACTTCTCAACAGATCTGATAGGAATTCCCAATCAGCATTCTTATAGTCCCTATATTGATAGCGCACCGGGGAATTTTTAGGTGTGTATTTAGTTGTTAGTCGGAGGGGTAGCGTGCAGTACAATATGTTGTGATCACTGTTATCGAGTTTATTTCCCACCTCTATCGAGATGGGCTCTATGTTATGACAGAGGATTAAGTCAAGAGTATTTTGGTTCCTTGTAGGGAGGCGTACGCACTGCTTCCATCCTCCTATGTCTATAGCTTGTAGTAGCTCTTCATGGATTCTTGGTCCTGTACAGGTATCCCAGTTTACTCCAGGTAAGTTGAAATCTCCACATACTACTTTGTAGTCGAAGTCCAGCGTGGCTACATGCTCTAGTATTTCTGCAATAGTTATATCAGTCATTTCAGGGCTATTGGGGGGTCTGTATATACATCCCACGAGAATTTTACTTTCGTTTGTGTGGATGCTTATCCACTTAGATTCTGGGAGTTTGTCAGTATTTGGGTTATTGAAAGTATTGGAGTTAGTGGATTTATAGGCATATATTAAGCAACCGCCTCCTCTTTTGTCAACTCTATCGTTCCTATAGATGTCGTAGTTGTCTATTACTAGCTTTGTGTCAGGTATATCAGTAGTAAGCCAGGTTTCAGTCACCATTATTAGTGTTGGCCGTTCTATGTATGCCAGGCAGCGAAGCGTTGTTATTTTATTAAGGAGAGATCTAGCATTCAGGAGCATAATTGTTAGTAAACCAGAGTTATTGGAGGAGAGGTTAACATGGTTACTTGTTACTATCCCTACGTTATGTTTGGAGGGGCTCTGAGGTGAGACAGAGTCAGTGTGTGTACTATTTCCTGGATGAACTGTGCAGCGAGTGGGGCTATTGTTTGCTGCAGCCGAAAATAATCCTGTTGCATATTTTGACTATTAGCATCCATGGGTCGGCATCTGCGTTCATCTACTGGTGATATATGGTCTGCCCTGCAATTTGGGTTGTAGTTTGCTGGACCTAGGTACCCTGTGTTAAGATTACCCTGGTAGTTGTACCTCATGGGGCTTTCATAGCCGTATGCATATTGGCTCACGTCACGTGGTGAGTGAAGTTATTGAGGGGATCAAGTGTCGACCTATTCTCATTATTTGATGAGGTTTAACATAGATAGTGCGAGAGTTTGGACGAGAATTTTCGTTAATATGGTGCCTATATGAGTCCCGTTTAGTGCTCCATATATCCTGAGGATCCATTCTACGTTGCATTCCCAAGTTATGTGCGTTGTTAGGCATGTTACTTCTAGTTCGGGAAGGGGTATTCCTTCTCACATGCTGCGTGACGTCTTTGGGAATGTGCTTCGTTACCCATGCTTTGTCATTTTTTAGACTGACACGCTGCTTATTAGACTTATTACGAGGGAGGTATGTCGAAGTCTGGGGTGGGACTCTGGGTTTTGTGGTCTTTTTTGCGGTTTCTACTGAGGGACTCTCTGGCTTGGATCCAGATTGAGTGTGGTCTGCCAGTAGTTTCTGGTCAGCCATAGTTTGTGCGTCTATGTCAACCTCATGTAGGTCAGCAGGTTTTCGAGATGTGCTCTCGTGCACTCTAAGATTGCACCCAGTGGCACTGCTCTTACTGAGTTTTGGGTCGCTCTTACTTGCCGTTTTTTCTCCTAACACTATACACGTGACTTGCTGTGCTTCAGTGTCCGTCGACACTTTAGCACTGATACCAGATGTATTTCTCAGTGTTGTCAACTTTGTATCGAAGGAGTTCTTGGTTGCTTGCCTTTGGTTTGGTGTTTTATCCGAGACTACTTTAATAGTCTTGAATTTAGTGGCAGTAGCCAGAAGATCTTCGGCCATCTTAAATCGTTCAGCTGTTATGTAGCTGTCGAACCTAAAGAGTATAGGACAAGGATGCTTTAGGTCTTTTTTGCTTAGGCGAATGCACTGACAAGGTGCATTCAAGAGATTTGCAGCCTTCAGCAATGAGTGCTGGACTGACTTTATGGGCTCGCTATCCGGTACATTATACACTATTGCGTTTTGTTTTGAAGCCAGCCTTTTAACAACTTCGCTGGATAGAAAGTCGATGGCGTTTTCTAACTCCTTCGCACTTTTTGATGCAGTATGAGTCTGCCCTAAGCGAAAGGAAGTCTATTGAACTAACTTCTCTGCTAGTGAATTCATGTATCTGCCGCGATTCAGGAGTGGAGACAGTGACAGGGCTGTTCGAGTAAACTAGACAATTTTTTCGACAAAATGCAGGTATAACAGCGGAAAAATCTTTAGTCTGAAGCCTTCACTTTCCACTCACAGAGGATTTGTAGTCACCAGATTCCCAGTTCTCACCAACTAAAAGCATTATTCGAGCGTTGATTTGCAGTAATTTGAATTGCTTCAGGATTTCAAAATGATCTGACATAGGTAAAAGGACCATTGGAGGACTTGAGAGTACTGAACACCCTGTTCGCCTTAGCTTGGGACTCCTCATCAGTACGCATCGACTGAGGTTCAGACCCAAGATCTTCTGGTTACAATGCGGGCTCCTAGATCACTGAGCCACTGGGAATCAATCTAATCGTCCATGAATTACTTCTGCCGTTTCATGATACGACCATATAACCGATATCAGCTCATGATGACATCCCACAATTCACCAACAAAATTATTTCATCCTTCCTGAAGCGCTGTTTTAGTTCCAGTAAATCGGGCTATTTACCTATATTTCTCAGGGATGTGTAACTGTTGCTTTAAGATGAATTTCCTTGAGTTTTTGATCGTACTCGGACTTTGAGGAGATGCAATGACTGGTTTGCTGTAAAGCCCTTCTGTAGATTCTGTTAAAACTGTGGATGACTACGAACGTGGATGTCGTGAGAAATAGTTCATCCAAAATAATTTGGATCCGATTTAAGCCACACTGCAACCTGTCCTTGGGGGCTGAATACTATTTTTGTGGGAAATGGTTGATTTGTCAGAGTTATCGGGACTGCTGAGGTTGCTTACTTCGCTTCAAGGAAACGGTATCTTCCCTTCCTTTCCGGTAATGGGGTTGTCACACATCGCCTCCTGCGAAAGACCTCTTGTCACCATGCATTGTCACTCTCTTCTCTACCTAGCTGCAGCGATGACAGCCCATTATCTGCATGAGTTATGGAGCAGCTTGAACGAATTATTTAGTGACTTCTTTAGGTTCGATGCCCTTCCTACAGTTTCCGTTTTAGGGAAATCGGGCATGTAAGAGCTTGGATCTCCTAGTAAAACCACCGCAAATTTGCACAGCTGGATGCATTGTTAGTATTGGAGTTATTATTATTTCTCTGAGACAAGATACTTTTGCCGTCAGTTGGTCTTACTGCTGTGATATGCGTTGCAATAGCCTCCTAGCTACCACAGTAATTATCCAGCAATTACATAACGGCTCAAATCGGAAAAGTGTACTGCAGGAATCAGTTTGGCGCATGTATCATAAAATCACCGATAACGATTATTATATTGATCACCATCGTTAGCTGGGAAGTGACACACTGGCCTTACACGATGAGCTTATACAACATTGAGCTTTTCAAGTGGAGAAAATAGCTTTGCTGTATAAAAAGTAACAGTTGCGATGTGAGACTGAGCTGCCATATTACAAGGCAAAATCAACTGCAATTAAAATTAACAAAACAGGGAACTGAGGATTTTAGAAGCACACTTTATATCAAAAATCAACAACATACAACCAACCCTAAAAAGAAGAAATCAAGTTTGTTGAGATCGACACACTAAAAGTTAGATTTAGGCAGGAACGTGCGAAAATTTATTTGCTTTTCAAAGCTCGCAGCTATATGTTTTACATGTTTGTTTCAAAGATTCTTCTTTCCTGATAACTTCTTAAATATTGTTAAAACTGTCTTAGATACAGCGACGCAAAATATTGTTAAAATCCTTACCAGTGGATGCTGACGTAATTATCGTAAGATTTTGGTGCTGTTTGTTTGAAATTGTTGCACGAGGTCTTGTTGTGTTTTCGAAGCACCATTAGTGCGGTTGGAATATGGTTAGGATAACGGCTGAAATTGTTGAGAATGCACCACAGTTTACCAATGCTATCAAAGATCGTGAACTTGACCTTCGAAGCTACAAATTTCCTGCCATCGAAAACTTGGGATGTACATTAGACCAATTTGATACTATCGATCTTTCAGAAAATGAAATCAGAAAACTTGATGGCTTCCCGCTGTTGAAGCGCTTGAAGTCCATAATACTCACAAATAACAAGGTAATAATTTCTTCAAATTTTCTACTTGAGGTTTTGATTTTACTGGCTGTTCGGAATGTTTATTTTGCGTAATTGTAACATTTTCTTATCTAGTGATTTTTTCCAGTTTGCTATTTATGAAGGATTTTTAACCGTAGTAACTTGGAATACAATTCTTTGGCTGGCTTAAGTCAAATACTAACGTTTAGTTGTTTGTGGTCCACTTTTGTGATTGTACAACTGCAGTATGTTTAATTCACTTTGTTTTCTTTCGTGGGATACAAAGGGGAGGTATTTTTGGAGTCCCCATAGGTTCCACTGTCGTAGTATATATTCAGCCAACCTCGGTGCTAGTAATATTCGTCTCAGTTTTCCTGTCACTAACCTTTATTTACCTACCTGATGTCGGTAAAATAGTGTGGTTTTTTATTGTCATGATCAGGTTAAAAAACAAGCCTTGGTCACTATGCCATCACAATGCAATAATAATTTTGCTGGTGAGAATAAACTAAATGATCTTCTAAGCTTTTTAGCCATTTACCGATGTAACTGCACTGTTCGAATTGGTTCGTCTTATCACATAGCCTTCCCCTAATTTGAGCCTATCAATTTTCATCTTAAATTCTGATCTCCCAACATCTGTACACTCATCTGGCGTTTATGGGTGCCTCTACTTCACAGTTACCGGGGCACCAAGTAGTGACGCATGTAGTAGGTGTTAAATGGCTGGTTGAGTCATTCCAGTCTGTTTTTATAGTTTGTATGAGATGAGTCTTGATTTCCTGTGGGTGCATTACAGAGTTCTGTTGATGGAGTGCACAGTGTAGATTATTGCAAACTGCCGATCTAGTTAGTAAAAGTTGCTTTCTCCATTTCTGAGACAAATATTTAACAAGGTGTTGATAGCTCGTGTTATTACGTATGTAGGAACAATAACGGGTTTTTATCCCCGATTTTACTAATCATTCCTTATATGTCGTCGAGTGGCTTGCCCCTTCTCTCACATTATTATTATTGCTCCCTTGGGTTCCTAGTGGAACATAGGGCTTCAACTGCACGTCTCCATTTGCTTCTGTCTTCTGCTGTACTTTTCACCTGCATCCATGTTACTCCATACTGTTTCAACTCCTCTTCACACGATCTCCTCCATGTCACCCTTGGACGTCCCACTCGCCGCTTCCCTTTCGGGTTCCACTCGAGGACTTGACGCGCGATGTCACCCAGCGGTCTCCTCAGAGAGTGTCCAATCTATCTCCACTTTCTCCTGCATATTTGTTGGGCGATTGGTTCTTGTTTTGTTTGTTCCCATAGTTTCTTGTTGGTGATTCTTTCCGGCCATCTGATCTTCAGTATAGAGTGAAGACAGTTGTTAATAAAGGTCTGCAATAGCCTGTTGGGAATATTCCTTGCGACCCGCCAAGTTTCTGATCCGTATAAAAGAACTGACTGACTTGAAGTTTGTATTGAAAATCCGACCGAATTTTGTTGATTCTGGCTGAATGATGAAGATTTCCAGATTGGTTTCAGACTGATGAATGTGTTTCTCGTCTGTCTTCCTTATTCTCGCTCGATTTGACATCCTCGTCCGTTCCTCATGTAATTAAGACAATGCTGCCTAGATAGGTGAATGAAGTAACCTCTTTTAAATCCCTCCCGTTGATGGTGATTGACGCTGGATGTTGCTGCTGTTGTCGTTGTTGTTGGTTGGTTGGTTGGTTATTTTCATAAGCTCCGTCTTGTCTATGTTCACTTGGAGTCCTGTCTTTGTTGCTACTTCGACCAGTTTGTCGGTTTTCGTTTGTAAGTCTTCGGTTTTGTGTGACATCAAACATAAATCATCCACGCGCGAAATCCAGGTCTTCCAGGTTCTTCGCGTCAGTCCAAGATATCCCTGTCTTCTCGTTTCCCACTGTCTCACGCATGATCCAGTCCACCACGATTAGGAATATCATTGGTAATAATAAGCACCCTTGTCTGACCCCTGTGTTTCCTCCAAACGCCTCGCTGAGTTTTCCGTTGTAGATGACTTGACATGTGCCGTTGTTGTACAGCTGTTGAATGAGGTTGATGAATATTCGGGGTACGCGTAGTACTCGAGTAGTTTCCAAATTACTTCGCGGTCAATGCTGTCTGTCGAAGGCCTTCTCAAAGTGTTTAAAGTTGAGGTAGAGGTTTGATTGTCATTCCACATATTTATTGAAATCTTGGAAATTTCTAATATTTTTAATAAGGACATTCCTTAAATTGCAGTTCGGTGTTCAGTTAGACAGTCATTTAGTGGGAGCCTATCAGATGCTGATGTCGCACGTATGCCGTGATTAAGATGCCCCATTTTCCAAATTATACGAATTGGGGAATGGTGTTTCAGATAGTAAGCCTTATTTATATAGGTATTCATTTTGAAGTGATCCGAAGTAAAAATGAATATGATCAATATTAATGGATGCATATCTGGGTCAGTAAACCCTAAGTAGGTCAAGTTCATGTGTATAAAGTGTACAAGACAATGCTATATGTGGTCCTTTATTTGACTGATCAACCTTTCCAACTCGTCTGCAGTTATTCAGTAAAGAGAAAGAAGTTGACAAAGCATTCTGACCCTGTTGTGTTAGTAGTGAATTCGTCGTTAACTTCAATTGACCAAGTTTCAACATAGAACTTTCACTGAAGTTCACTAGTTCAAGTTACCACATCATGTAACAAAGGTAGGGAAAAAAGAGGAAACTCAGAAGAACCACAACAAGCAAAATATTCAGGAGAAAAAACTGTAACATAGGGGTTTAATGTTTATGGGAGATCACAGAGAGCAAATGCATCTGCCATTGAGAACGATTTTGGGTCATGTCATCAAACCTTAGTCCCCTTGGTCATACCTTGTCTTTTTATTATTTGAATAAGAGTATATGACTTAATTATATTATTCCTGACATTTTGATTCTATTTTCCTGTGAAAGGAGTGGCGTCGACTCTTGATTTGCAATACTAGGTCCTATCTTGATTCTGTTCGTTATCACATGCTTTTATTGTATTTTGAAATTAATAAAACATGAAGTGTTTGGAACAGTAATATTATCTGTTATGAATATGAGATAGCGTACCACCGATGTGCAACCAAACTCTCATCCCATAGCTTCTTTTCTTTAAAATGATAAACATCTTCATGGCTGTTAGGAGGCTCATGCAGGATGTATTGCATTTCTCAATACTTTTGGTTCCTCAGTTATCTTTTATCTAAACTGAGTCACTTATCTGTATTTAGGTCGGAGCCTGTTTTCAGTTAGGCGTTATCACCATAGTACTCAGCATCCAAGCTGTCACACCTGGTCTGCATGTTGAAAATTATAAAGATGGAACACAAATCTATGCATATGAAACCAATGGTTGTAGAAGGCTGCAACACTAGGCATGAAAAGATTAACTAACTGAAGAAAGATAAAATCATGACGATGTGGCAGTGGTTTCGTCGAACTTGAGTGATTCTATGAAGATAATCGTGCTGGAATAATCGAAGGTGTATTGTACTCTACCTCACTTGACCATGCTTATCCACCGTAGAGAGTAACAGCTCGCAATTGCTCGGTACGCTTGAATGTTGCATGCACTTGGAATATGTGATTTGCAAGGTGAGTGATGCAGTTATACAAACTCAAATCAACTTTTCATAATCACCTCAGGCTTTTTGTTAACCATCAGTGCTGTGTAACTGATTCTCTCTCCCAAGTAAAGTGTTCGGTGCACTCCTGAAGTAACAATATGTATTTTGATGGAAAATACATCACGAGCATCCAGATCTTCAATGCCTTAGCTTAAAAGGATCACATCGTTTGTGCGCTCCAAAACGGCTACAAATTGATTTGGCAATTTAGACGAAATTCTTTTTACGGTGGTTTTCACTGCAAACATACATCCAATTATTGATGTTACATTTTGACTTGTGTCTGTTAATGTGATTTTGTTGAAGAAAATATAAGAGAGGAACCTTTTATTGTATGGAAGTGTTCCTCCGCAATGGAATATTTTCAGCCAGAATTTCTAATTCCGAAACTGTCAAGTAATGTTAGCATTAGAAAAACAAGGTGGTTATTACACAGACTCGTATTTATTCAGTGAAAGCAAGGAACATATAGTATATATGTTTTTTACGAAGCCCATTCTAAATTAAATCAGAATTTTTATTTTGTGACATTGTAGATTGCTCGCATCGCTGAGGACTTTGGTCAGCAGTTACCCAACCTTGTGACTCTTATTCTGACTGGTAATTACCTTTCGGATCTCAAGGATTTGGATCCTTTATCAACATGTGAGAAGTTGAATTTTCTGAGCCTACTTCATTGTCCTGTCACAATGCGCGCTAATTACCGACTTTATGTAATCAGTCGCGTCTCTTCTGTGAGTTAAATTATTATAGCTTTTTTGGAGATTGGTTTCTTTTAAATTTGTGAAACGTATTATTTATTTTATTACTTTACGTCCCTAGTGGAGCATTGAGCTTCAAGCTGGAGCTTTGCAGTTTCGGTAGCAGTGGTGTAATTTTTACGGGGTGAGGTCGCTAGCCTTACGCCCAACCTTCCCTCTTTACCGGGCTGGCTGTCAGCCTAGCGAGGTTAAGGAGTGCGTTGGCCGATGATCAAATTCAAGACCACATGCATGGTTGGCGAGCGCCTTACCTCTGAACCACTGCGAAACGTAGGAATATTGTAATCGCCAAATAATTGTATATTCCCTCCTACTGTAGTTTGTTAGTGGTTCTGTAAGCCTCGATATTTAATTGGCGCAATTCTCTTATGAGTTCATATATTCAGTTAAATGTGAATTTAGCTACGTATGTTTCTAAAAGACCTAGTCACCTGGTTGTAGCTAGTGTAATAAGATTTAATTTCTTACGGGTATTCGTATTTACGTGATCAATCTGTGTGTTAGTATGTCCTTATTTCCTTGTAGGTAACACATGTTACTCTTGGCTTCTCAGTACGATAAATAGATGGTTGGTTAACAGACTAACGTTGTTAGTTGTTTAGAGCTGCATACTTTTAAACAGGCAGGAAAATGAGGGTAGATATGAAGCAAGTGTACCTGGGGTTGTTGAAGGTGTTCTAGATTTGATAGACGGTAAAATGAATACTATTGCATTATTAAGGACAGTTTCAAGCCATGTTCCCATGCTAGTTGAAAGCCAGCAGCATAGTACAGATATTTTATGTTCCAGGCTATCAGCTACACACATGGCGTTAGGGTTGATGATACTACCCAGTTATCCATGCTTAAGTGGGTGGAGTGGGACTCTTACCCATGGTCAACTGACTGAAGGTCGAGTACTTAACCTAAATAGACCACATCTTGACTGTTCCTATGATTTCGTGATCATTGGTTCTCAGCACTTCGAGAACTGCAGTTCAGACCAATAATCTCCGACTTAGTCAGCTGGTATCGTGTGAGAATCCACCCCTCCTTAATTTTTGAAACCCAATGACCTAAATTCGTGTTTTGATAATCTGACTACTCCTGATCTACCAGTTTGACCTATGTAGTTGAAATAATTCACAGTCATTGCAAGGTATTTTGTAAATATTACTGTATAACACTGTGTGATTTTATCAAAATAAAATTTTATCCATAATGAAGTCTATTTCTAGTTTCTCACACGGGATTCGGTTCGCTCTCCATTTCTTTTAAAGTATTAGTCTTAAGTTTTTCAATAACCTTAAATATCTTTCATAAGTATAAGCTAAGACTTTTGTGTTTGTAGATTCGATTTCTGGATTACCGTCGTGTTACACAAGCTGAGCGTAAATTAGCCCGATCAATGTTTAAACGCCTTCCAGTTCTGTCAAACAGTATCAGTAATGTAAAGGCGCCATACCAAAAAGCTAATGTTCCGCGTACAGAAAACTCAAATGCTACTACTGGTACTGTTAAAACATTCATCCCTGGTGCTCCGATTAATTCAAACGATCTTGTACCCCCTGGGACTGAAGCAGTTCGAATGGATGATGAACAACATCATGTTAATGAAAGCAAAGAAAACAATGCACCTAGTTCGAATACATCAGTAGAAAATAATCACGGTGAATCAGGCAAATCTGATTCAACTGTAACCAGTTCAAGTGACACTCCTATGCCCCCACCATCCAATCCAGTCACAACAGGCAATAAACGTACAGGTGAGGTGTAAAGTTACTTTTGTTTGACTCTATTTCAGACAACTATTACCACATATTCACAGCTATTTTGTATGGATACATATCTATCCGTCCACTAGCTGTTATCTTAACTTGACGACCAGAATTTTCCACTGAGGACTATTATTCCTTGAATTGGGAGTTGGGCATTAATCCAACATGATCAATTTAGATACTATAGGAGAATATAGCTCCATATTAGATAAGTCTGTTTGATGTAACAACAGTAATACAACACTATTAATAACGGCTATTTTCCATGAATATCTCGCTCTGACAGAATGGTCGGCTAAGTATCAATAAAACTAGGAGCGATTACAGTCTTAGTTAGAGTTACTCAAAAATTCAGACTAAAGTCATGTTGTTTCGGGAAGCGTAGCGGTATGTTTCTCTAAGATGACCGACGGGCCAACTACGTTGTCCTCTCATTCTTATGGGCAGTCATTTGATTAAAAGGGTTGTAATAAGCGTAAACTGACCTATTTGACAACATTCCGTAGCTTGTTATCTGGTTTTCCTAATGGACGAAGCATCAAAAAGCCTAGCATCCCTTATTCTGTGTCTTTATCTTCTAGTCTCTTGCAACTTACGTTAGTATTACTTTCATATATTATTCGCCCTCTTGTTATACTTTGCATTGATGTGTTGATTTAGCGTGCATGTAGATGTGGCTGATTGGTTTTGGCGCTTAAATTACAACCACTAATTCAAACCTCACTGCCAACTGCGGGTGACTGTTGAGAATCACTTCATTTTTCCACTTAATGTAGCATGGAGAGTTCGGCTCAGTATTTTAGTGTCACATTGCATGTCTATCTTTTCAAGTATATCTAAGCAGCGAAAGCTGTGATTAAGACTGAGATGGTTAGGACATGTGTTACGTATGCCAAGCCATCGCCTCCCTCGACGAGCTATGTTAGCGGATATAGGGTCAGGCTGGAAAAAAGCTAGCGGCGGTCAAACAAAAACTTGGCATCAGTCAATGAAATCCACAACAGTTGGTCTAAGCCACGTAGAAAGGTGTAGACTTCCAGGCTGGGGTCCTCGGGACGGTAAAAATCTATGGTTGGAAACAATTGGTGACATGGCTCAAAACCGTTCTCAGTGGCGCAGATGCATCCACTCCCTGTGACTTATGATCTTCAATGAAACTGTTTTGTATTTCTTTATTACTCCTTTGTCTCACACCTCTGCTCACTGTTTCTATTATGCTTTTCTTGTACTTTCTTCTCTTGCTTCGCGTGCTACACGGAATGTGGCGACTTGAACTTCCGCACATTTGTGCAAAGTTCTATGTCGAAAACAGACAGACAGACAGAAGTGGCCTCTTTCGGTTTTAGAAGATGGGTTTTACAGTTGAAACCCAGTCATAGTGACATGCGTTTATTCATTAGTCACTCAGACTGAGAATTTGTTTAATCGCTTTAAATTACTTCCTGTATCACAAACTGTCTGTTTATTCTACTCTTTCTCTCTCTGTCATGCTCCATGTTATTTCTCTATGCCTTGGACGTTCAAAGTCACCAGGAGAGAGGATTAATAAACTCGTGGAGAAATCTAAAAGCTCACCTCAAATTGAAGTATGCGCTAAAGACTTTCCATTGTCATCCTTCACTGGCTTAATTTGTGTCGAACTTTTCCCCGAAAGATATCTAGTTGTTTGGTAGAGTCTGGCGAGGTCTCCTTTGCCTGCAGCTTGTTCTGCTTCACTTTCCATGGCTTCATAATATTTTCTTTTGTCTTCCCTGGCACTCCTCTTTACTCTTTTGTTCAGTGTATTGTAGCTTGCATTCAACTCCTGTTTCTGTTGCTCGTCGATGCACTGGATAATCTTCTGTTTCACCATCCTCCTCTCTTCTATTAGTCTCCAAGTGTCTGCAGTGAGCCACTGTTTGTCCTGTATCTGCATTCTGCTTAGACTTTTCATGCAGGTTTGATTCCACACCGCTTTCAGGTTGTCCCAGTGCTTCTCAACACTGACCTCTTTCTCTAATAATTGTTCTACATTTATCTGCTTGACGAGTTGTTCTTGTAGAATTACTATTAAATCACTACTGTACAGCATCTTAATTTGAAGTCACTCTTTTGTGAAAGTTATTCATGCTGCAGGGTAAAGATTTTTTTTCACACAAAATGTAAGTATCGAAAATTCTTAGAAGTTGTCCTTGTAAAAAACGTACAGCTCCATTCTTAAACCAGTAAACCAAGTTACTTGAGGCTTTATAACTAACAAAACCTCAGGTTTTGTAACAGACTTCAGTCTTTTGTCCTACTGGTTGAAAATTGTGTCTTTTTATTAATGTCTCGTAGATCAACCAAAGCGATATTAATTTCCATCATTATATGGAATTCATATCCTACTAGTAATTGATGCAGCGTCGGTGGCATAGCAGTTAGAACGCTCGACGACCATGCACATGATCCGGGGTTCGATCCCCGGCCGCCAACGCACTCTTCCTCTACCTCGCTAAGCCAGAAATAATCCTGGTAAAGAGGAAAGGTTGGGCATAAGGCTAGCGACCACATCCTGTAAAAATAAACACTGCTACAGAAACTTCAAGTGACTAGCTTGAAGCCCTATGTTCCACTGGGGAAAGTGAAGGAAAAAAACTAGTAATTGATGTGCTATGATGAATCAATGATTGTGAACGACATACTTCCAGGTTGTTTTCTAACCTCATGTTTTCAGCTCAGCTACCGAGAACAGATTTTTCGTGTGCGCCAAGCTAATACTCACATTTATATTGTGAGGGTTGATGAATACACCTCAGCCATCGAAGCTGAAGTAGGTAAAGCGGGACTCAAACTCGTGACCCACCTACTGAAAACATCTAGTACTTCGGCCAGTGAGCCACATCCCCACATTTCCCAACCTAATAATGTTTAAGGTTTTCCAAATCAACAACCGTACTTTTTATTTCGGTATATATATTGCCCCATATGTATCTTCATATATCAGTAAAAATGTGAGTTAAGGTGAAAACACACTTGTACATTTAAGTATCTTTTTTCTTTCTACTGATTTTTATATTATAGTTATCATTGTATATTTATTCTTGTTGTATTTCAGTTGCATCAAATCAAGACTTATTTGCTATACAAGAAGCAATAAAACGTGCACGTACTATGGATGAAGTTGAACGTCTTCATCAATTGCTTAGTAGTGGTCAGTTTGCAGGATTTGCAGTTCAATGGCAAAAACAATTAAGGCAACAGCAACAGCAGCAACAACAACAAAAAGCCTCACAATAATATGTGTATAAATATGTTGCTGTGAAGCTTTACTCACTGGTCATGTCTCAGTGTTTGTACATTGCACCATTATACATACATACTTTTTTCTCTTCTTAAACTAATGTAACTCTAATTATGATGCCGTTATCCTTCTGAAATAGTTACTTAACTTTATTTTTACAACAACAACAATAAATGCATAATCCTTTGAAGCCTATTTTGTGACTTTCTAGAGACTAATATTCGTAGTATAACAACAGAAGACAAGGGCCGGCAACAGATCGTTTTATTACGGAAATCAACACGTATTTATATACATATTTCCTGTACATTATTATAGCTTATTCAAGTAGACAAACACAGTCTTCTGATTGGTTGTTTCTCCGAAGTTAAGCATACAAACGCAGGTCTCTGATTGGTTGTTTCGGGTAACCTCGGAAAATGGAGCCATTTATCTGCGAATCATATTTGCCCACGTTAAGTCTGCTGTGATTGATTGTTGAATCAGCCTTGTTCATATTTTCTCACGAGCAATATTAGTGACCTAGACATTGACGTAGATTAATGTCTACCAATTGGTTAGCAGCCTGATCTCACCACAGTAGTAGGTGTTGAATTCTTCTTAGTATCAGTGTTGTTTCTTGTTTCGCCATCCAGGAATTTATACATATGCTGCCTACTTTAACTTGCCATAAAAAATAGTGAACATATTCCTCTCCAAATTGATTCATATTATCTTGATATGTTTCATTTGGCGTGAAAAGAAATTATGTGTTGTCATTCTTATTAGTTAGGGGGAATAAGCATTATTTATATGTAAGAAAGTCTTTGTAATGAATAGTTTGAGGTTTATGCAGCTGTGAAAAATTAAAAACTGATATTCTCATTGAATTCATAAGACAAGATGTCTTTTGTTCTAAGGGACTGTAAGAAAACCATTTTTTCCTTCACGTTCCTCAGTGGAACATAGGGCTTCAAGCTAGTCACTTGAAGTTTCTGTAGCAGTGTTTATTTTTACAGGATGGGGTTGCTAGCCTCATGCCCAACCTTTCCTCTTTACCAGGATTATTTCTGGCTTAGCGCGGTAAAGGAAGAGGGCGTTGGCGGCCGGCGATCGAACCCCGGATCATGTGCATGGTCGTCGAGCGTTATAACTGCTATGCCACCGACGCACATAATAGTTCAGTCCTTAGTGGGGTAGCATTTTTTCCAAGTTACTATTTATATACGCATGTTTCGTAGGAAAGTGGTACTGATTCACCTTTTGTCAGATAAGTGATGGTAAAAGTCGAGGTGCAACTATTCGTTGTCTTTCAAATGAACAGCGGACATCTGTCCATAAGGAAAACTTCTATCGTTTTAATTAAATGTCCACATATGTTGAATTGGCTGATATTTAGCACTACGACTTGCAGGTACATCGAAAGTAGTTGTCCTTGCAACCATTCATTCCCTCACTTTGCAATCTAGTGTCCCCAAAAATTTACGTATTAAATGTGTGTACGACAGTTTAGTATTGCTCTAAGTTAATTTGGATTCCCCGGCAGTCGGTTATATCGGCCCTGTAGTATGGACCCAAAGACGATGTCTAAAGACTAACATGATATTATTTAGCTGACAATGATCACTGGTGGAATCTAGGATGAATTTTCAAGTATTGGTTTTTGTAGGGATTTTTGTTTGATTGCATGGAGGATTTAATCTAGGATGCGCATCTTTTCCCATTTATAGCTCGTCATCTGTATATCATCAACCAAATAACATATCGATCTTCATGCATTGTCTATAATAGGAGCCAGCATGTTAACAGGGACTTAGCTTTTCGGTTCAGTATTATCAATCAACGGGAAATGTAACTTAACTTCAACAAATAACAATCAAAATTCGTTGTTGTTTGGCTTTTGAAACAAAGGATTTGAGGTTCTAGTCTCAGTGAGAATACTATCGCTCACTGAAGATGCGAGTATATCTAGATGATGAGTCCTGAACAGGACGGGATATTCGTTTTGAATTCCATTACTAGTCAGCAATAACCTGAATGTCTGGTATTTTTTTTATCGTATTGAACACGATATCGGCTGGTATGTGGTAGCCGTCGGAAAAGTTTAAACTCATCAAAATCTACAGACTATACAATCGTTGTCCTTTCTACCCAGATACTCAGTTTCGTTACCGTCATCTGTTAAGAAGCGTATTAATGCCATCATTTCGCTAGGACGTAGAGCTCTATGGAAGTTATTTTTGTATAAAACGTTCCTTCTGTGAATAACAACGTTTCTCAATGATCGATGACTTGGAACTTAGTTCGAAACCTGTTGTATGTGAAGTTTCTCTTAAGGCACTGGCATATTAGTGGTGGCATTACTCTTTATTTTTGTTTAATTTCATCCAACCTTCCGATGTAAAATTCTTTTATACGAATTATCCGTTGTCAAAGACCACAACATTTGCTTTGCTACTGACTTCAAGTTACATGACCAGACATCATCGAAGCATCTGCACAAGGAGCCGACATGTCAACTTGAGACCGACCACTTTGGTTCAATAAATTGGCGTAACATTGTCATCCGAATTTTACCTTTATAACTTGCTACACTTAAAGTACACGGATACTATACAATGAGATCGTCTATCCCCAAACGTTTTACTGTTATTATTATTCCCTCGTCGAAATTCTAGCTTCAATAATCATGCATACGCTAAATGGCATTCGGGAGAAAACTATTCTAGGATGGTATTGATCATGTCTTCACCATTCAACAGATTCCGAGAACAAGTGCATATTTGTCGGCTTTCAACAACTGTCATATTTGTTGACCTGGAGGCTGCATTCGACTCTGTCGAACGAGAGGCACTATGGTAATGTTTGGCTGTGAAAGGAGTATCGAGGAAATACATCGCACTAATCAAGGCACTCTGCTCGAACTCATGCAGTTGTGTAAGAGCTTACGAAGAGTTGTCATCTGAAGTGGTGTCCGTTAGGGATGCCCACACTATTCCCATGTCTGTTTAATTTCATCATAGATGTATTGATGCAAATAACCCTAACTGACTTCACCGACTCAGAAATTGACGTGTTACTAGGGTATAGTCTTGTCGACTTGGAATATGCGTATGATATAGTCCTGCTAGGCGAAGACCCGGATGAAATGCAGATTCTTCTGAACACCTTAAGGAGCAGCAGTCTCTAATGTTTGGCATGCGATTCCCTTCTGTCAGTCAAATGTGTAAGATGATGCTGCAGGATTGGGCTACAATGACTCCACTCCTGCCTGTATTTAAGCTAGAAGTGATAGAGCGTGTTAATCACCTCACTTATTTGGGGAGTTGCATCAACCAATGCCATCGGGTTGATCGCTGACAAAATCGCAGCACGGATACAGAAGGCTCGTGTGGGATCTGCCTACTTAAGTTATTTCTGACGTAAACGTGGTTTCGAGCTGTCGACCAAACGAATTGTGTACTGCATATCAGCGGTTCACTCTGTCCTCCTTTATGTCTGTGAGACATGACCATTGAAAGTGGAAGATACTAAAAGGCTGACTGTCTTTGATCATGGACGTCTGTGTTCTACCTCCCATGTTAGGTGGTATGGTAGGGTGAGTAATATTAAGGTTAGGAGGGCAAATCAATCGGTGATTTTGTGAAGCTACAACTATTGAGATGGCACGCCTAGCAATCGCCTTTCTCGACGGATAAGATTAACTGACATAGGATTAGGCTGGAAAAGAACTAGTGGTATTCAAACGAAAAAATGGCATGAAATCCTTGACAGTCAGTTCAAGCCTCGTAGGTAGGTGCAGACTGCTTGATTGGGGTCCTCGGGATGCTGATAGCCAATGGCTAGAGACAGTTGGTGACATGGCTCAAAATCGTTATCAATGGCACAGATGCATTCACTCTTTGTGATTTGTCCTATCCAGTAGAACCCTATTGATTTTTCATGTTACTGCTGTTTCTCCTTCACATTTCTGCTTATTGCTGTTATTTTCAAATTCTCCTTTTCTGTTTTATCTTCCTTTGAGTGCTGCATAGTGTGTCAACTCGATCTGCTGCACTTATGTGGAAAGTTCTATGTGTTGAAATCAGTCATTAATCCCCTGGGTTCCAACTGGAATATAGGCTTTCGACAGCACAACTTCATTTCACCCTGTTGTATGCTGCCCCTATTTGACTGGTTCTACGATTGCTCATTAGCTTTCATCTCCTCACACGATCTCCTCTGTGTCACCCCGGGACACCCAAGTGCTTAAGTAATATTTACTTATCAGATACTGAATGTGGTCACTAATCTGAGTTCCGCAACGCTGTTAAGCATAGCAGTTATTTATTAGACCCAAGTGTAGTCAATCGGTATTAAGCCCAAAACTTAGACTTAGCTTCTTTTTAGCAATGATTCATATTTCTCCCGAAAATCGAATCTGCGTTACCAAGATCTGGTAATGTGAATCCTTTAGATGTGAAATCAATTGCATATTGTTATTATATAAGATGAATTTTGCAGGATACCTTGGACCTGGGTTTAATGTTTATTGCCGATAATCTGTGAGGCGTATCTACAACTTCGATGGAGCTGACGTCCTTGAATGTCATCCAACTGACCAATCAATACAAAAATATTACTTCGAATGAAAAAGTATCAGGAAAGACCAAACGTTTCGATGGAGCAAAACTCACCAGTTTGGGATAGCCATTCAGTCCTAGTCGGTGACTCTTCATTAGTTCGCATCTATGACCTCACTGGAATTGGAGCAAACGACCTTCCTGCTATGGGGTGACTCCGCGAACCATAAAACTAGTGCGTCGGTGAGTCAGTGCTGAAAGGCTTGCCAATCATGTATGCAGTTCGGGTCTAATGTGCTCCTAAACCTCACCTTTTCCTGAAAAAAGATAGTAAGGTTGGGAAAGGGACAAGGTTGGATTTGAGGTTAGGAATCCTGCCCAGTAGCATCAACACCGTCGTTACTGAAAATTCTAAGTAGTTGGCCTCAAGGTATTGTCAAAACGTCCGTACCAGAAACTGTCGGGCTCAGGGAGACTTAACATTCCAATCGATTCAGATCAGTCAACAGGAAAATCGTGCAGTAGTTTCAATAAATGAAAACATGAATCCCGTTGCTTCAGATAACAAAGCAGGTTGCCACTTACAAATAGGATTTTTGTTTTTAAAATATACACTACTTACAAAATAAGTAGTAGTTAGAAATAACAAACAAATAATTTCAGTTTTCAATATACACTGTAACATGTTAATTTTCTTCTCAGTAAACCCATTGTATCCATTATAGCTTCATTGCATTTTTCCTGTTCTTGATTATATTTGTGAAATCCAATTAACAGCATGAATTTCAAATTTCCTTTAGTATCTGCATCGTCTTTATTGTATCGTTTTAGTCGTGTCGCTGTGAAAGTACTTGGATCCATTTTATTTATTCCACTTTGTTCAGTGGCCATTAGTGCTTCATTGAAATCAGTATAGAGAACTTTATACCTTGATTACACGAAAAAGAAAACACAAGGAGTAGCTGTTTTTTATTCAATATGGATATCAGATTTATATGTCTTTCATTAAATATAATTTTATGTTGATGTCAAAGGTTAACTGACTTCATCTGGTAGAGGTAGTGACTAAAAAGACATATATATGTTCATTTACCAGTTACTGTCATATTTAACGGATGAGGAGTTAAGCTTTAAGCACCACTAACTACCAGTAGAGTGTGACTTCACCAGTGACCTTGAAACGCTCACTGAGCAAGTTAGCGAAACCTGGCAAATAATGTTGTCATCATCAGTAAAATATGCTCATCGAAGTGTTACGCTATTAAATGGGACATCTGTCGAGTTTCAGCTTAGGTTTGGGAAAGATTAAGTTACACTTTAAACCAAGGAGAAGTTAGGGTTAGGGAAACCTAATAAAGGCGACATTAGGGTTGATTCGAGTTAGATTACAGTTAGTTTAGACATATATTCACGTTAGGGTTATGTCCAGGAAAGATTAGGGTTAGAAGACCTAAATAATTACATGCATAGAATGTGGTTAAATTACTCTGTTGATACAAGAATAGAACTTGTGCACTGTGGTAGAGTATAATTCCATTGTGGGTAAAATTCATATTGATAAAGTCTCACAGTACTATACAGTAATATTTGCTGATGACAACGTTTCGAGTGCAATTTATTACTCATGAAATATTACTGTATCACAATGAGACTTAATCAAAATAAATTTGACTCACAATTAAATTATACTCTGTTGATACTCCAGCCTAAAAGTGAGAGCTATTTTTCTCACATGTGAGAGTAGGGTATCCTCTGTAACACTTTTCTACAGTTTATATGCATTTTTTTCATAAATATTTGTATTTCATACACAAAAGTGCTTCCTTCACGTGATTGGTGCGTTCGAGGTCATTCGCTGATTGGTAGTTAGTGGTGCTTAAAGTTTAACTTTGCCAGGAATACCTAATGTTTATGAATAAAACATGGCTGTTGTTAAGTGGTTTAGACGCAATGAATTGTATTTCATCTTTCTTGATATCATTAATTTTATTATTGTTATTATTAATTCCCTTGGGTTCCAAGTGACGTATAAGGTATGAGTGTTGGTAAACATTGAATGCGCAACCTATGGTTTGTTTATTCGAACCTTTATCCGTTTGGCGGGAAACAATAATGGCAATCGTTGCTTAATCATACGCTGCTTCTCAGAAAACTAAAGAAAAACGATCATAAGTATCTTTGTGACTTTCTTTCAACGTTCATTCATAGACTTTGTGTCTTGTAACCTTGTTGTTTTGCTTCATTGTTGGGGAAGAAATAAATAATCTTATTGCCAATCCGTTTTCTGATGTCCCCACGTCAGCCATCTCAAATAGTATTCTGAGGCATTGATTAATCTTCTGGAATCAGCGATAGGTTCATGGTTTTTCTTATCTGGACATTTGTCATAGTGTGGTGAGAGCAGGCCGTGAGAAAATATGAGCAAGGCTGATTCAACAACCAATCACAGCAAAGTTAACGTGGCAAAATATGATTCGCAGATAGAGAACTCTATTTGTCGAGGAATCCCGAAACAACCAATCAGAAGCCTGCGTTTGTCTGCCTAACTTCTGATAAACAACCAATCAGATGACTGCGCTTGTCTATAATAATGTATGTGAAATATGTATAAATACGTGTTGATTTTCATAATAAAACGATCTGTTGCCTGGCCCTTGTCTTCTGTTGTTACAATAGGACTTCAGCAATACATCTCCATTTCATCCTGTTCTCTCGAGTCCTTTTAAGCTGCCTATATGACTGCCCATTAGGCTTCATTTCCTCTTCACATGACCACGTTCATGTCACCTTCAGACCAATACCTAACCTGCTGATTCTCATTTGGGCTCTACTCGGGGGTTTGACACCTGATGTCATTATTACTAGTGTCTCCTCCTAGACAGCTTTAAAATTATACTATTATTCGAATGAATGAACCAGTTTTGAACAAAGCGTTGGTGGAACAGCGGCAGAATGCTCACCGACCACACACGTGGTCCGGAGTTCGATCCCCAGCCGACGCACTAAGACAGTAATAAGAGTTGTAAAGTGGGAAGGTTGGGCATGGGGCATACAACCCCATCCCGTAAAAATAAACACTACTGCTCCAGAAACTTCAAAGCTCTAGCCTGAGGCCCTGTGTTCCACTAGGAACGTAAAAGAATAAAAAAAAATGTTGAACAGACATCAAATTCTAAGTGAATGGAAAATCTCACTAACTCATCACAATGTGCCTTATAACAATAAATAATTACTGGAAAGATTTTCTGGTCGTATCGAATGAATCTTTTTGAATATTTTAAAGTTTTCATTGTTTCCACAACTTTCTTAAAACTGAATCAAAATGTATTGTAAGATTTTAAAAACAGATTTCATCTGAGTGTTCTAGCAAGTGAAACATTAAGTCAATTCAGTATACCGAACAACCTATCTGTCGTTGTCTGTCTGTCCAGTTCAAAAGCCTGGCTAGTCAGACAAATGATCTAGTTGTTAAATCTCTGTTACATATGCCTTGCTTGTTTACTTGAGTGGAACTCAAACGGAACACGACAAGTTTAGCGTTGGCCTGACAGTGATGTGGAACAGAACATGTGAGAAGGAGGGAATGAAAGCTTGTGGGGAGTTGTGAAGCCAGTAGAAAAATAATGACAAATAACCGAGTGAAATTGGAAACGCATAGAATCAGGAATCATAATAATAATAATAATAAAAGCAAATATTCGTTCAACAGGGAAATACATTGTGCTTATTAACAAACTTAATGTATGAATACTTCAATAAACTTAATGATGATGAAACATCCATCGTCAAATATCAGAGATCGAATTATAATATATAATTTCGAAATAATAATTTGTTTTAAATTAGTTAGAGGAAGAATTTATAATTCTCGAAAAGATGTCGAAAAACAAGTTAGCCTCAGAGATACATTAACAAATATGGAAGATGTGAAGGCTAAAATGTCAAACAAATCACAGTGCGTAAAAGGCCTATCTTAATTCAGCTCGATTTCAAAGGTGAAAGTATTGCAGGAATATGTTATTAGCTAAAGCCTGTCCTACAGCTAAGTTGGTTCCCGTTTTCGGGCAACATGCTCTTTGGTGCGGTCAAAAGTCGGTAGATACTCTTCTCATTCTTAACTCTAACTCTGTATACATATTTACATGTATATTTGGAAATAGTAACTCTAGGGGAACAGAAACAAAGGCACACCTGAGATTTGCCGAAAACGTACGGAAAAGCCTATGTCTCAAGGAGACAAACGCTTTCAAAAGTGTCATTGCCAGGTATCTCATCAGTAAGGATCATGAGGTGGGTATTGAAAAAATCTTTAAAATTATCAGTAGACAAAATATCTGAAGTTTACCGAAGCAATCTCTGTAAAACGCCCGAAACTCAATTTATGTGTTCAGTAATAAGTCATTATTAGTGTTACCTTGCCCTGGTAACTGGATATCTTTTTCCTCTCTTTCATTTTATTGTATAATCCTTGGTTTTACCTCAATACCGTAGAATGTATTGTGACTCTTCTCGCCACTTCTGTCTATGGTTTGAGTTGGACTCACCGTATTGTTAGTGAACTTATTAGTTACTCGCCTCTTGGGTTTATTACGTAACTTTTTTACCGTTGTATGCATACACTGATTCCTATTTAAACTTGAACTCCCTGGGTGGAAACTATATAAGCGTAATTTTCTGAACTTTTCTCACCAAGTTCTGAACTTTCTTTCAGCCGAAATCATATGAAATTTGCATGTTAAAATTATTCTGTACATAAACTTAATAATTTGTTCACGCTGCATGCAACTGATTCGAAGCCAGAGAGATAAATCATGGTACCATGTTATTCTGCACAAACTATTGTTTTTACTATATTTAAATCAAATTCCTAATTTCCAAATTAACTCGCCACTTGCAACTTATCACATCTGTCTAGGTGAAATTTCACCACAGTTTCTTCTGAAGACAGAAACTGTTTAGATTAACTACATATTTCAGCCAATGAATACATCTCTGATTGCCATTTTTTTTATTTACAGCTTGATTCCACACTGTATTTTTCGGTAGAAGTATGGAATTTTTAGCATGGATATCGGTAGCCCAAATTTTGCAGGCCGACCATAGATATCAGGTGTGCGCCGGCGTGGGCTCGAACCCCGAACCATGTGCATGGTCGGCGAGAGTCCTAACCACTGTGCCACCGACGCACAAGAATTAATTTGTAGGGTTTCTATTTGTTTACGGTTAGACCATAGATTGATATCGGTTAGAGAACCATTAAAAACCAGGGAGTACTGGAGACCTGTTTCGTCAGCCTAGTCTGGGGCTGTTCATCAGTACGCACCCACCACGGGAACTCGAACCCAAGGCCTTCCTGTTACAAGGCAAGCTCGTATATCATCCAACCACTGGGACCCGATTCAATGGTCAGCCCGTGAACTCTAACTTCTATCAACTCATAAGAATTGATGTGATGCTCGCTAGTGACTGATTGCAGAACGAAATTGCCTGGAGGAGTTCTAATGAGGAGCTGTGACCAGTGGATTCTATTCAGTTGGGAGTGAGGACAAATACTCATCAGCGATGAAACTGGCCGGTGCCAGTCACGCTAAAATCACGAATTGGTAGAAATTAGAATTAATGGACTGACAGTTGTGCAAGGTCCCATTGGCTGGGGATGGTATACGAGCTTTCCTTGTAACCGGAAGGTCCTGAGTTCGAAACCCAACGGGTGTGTACTGCTTATGAGTCCCAAATTGGGCTGACTAAAAAGTGTCCAATACTCCCAGGTTTTCCACTAGTTCTCCAATTGATCGGCACTTAATTTACCAAGCAGATAATATGCTGTCATCTGAATAATTGCGATTTCCAAGAGAAACAGTGATAAAACTTCACCTCCACGAACCGTATAAATTGAGAATTTCATTTATGGTGTTACTATTTCACCCA